GTTTCCGAGGACATTTGATGACTGGGATGCATTCTTCGCGGCTGTAAAGACTCACAGCGAGGAGACATATCAACTTCTCTCCAAACGGACATCGTACAGCGCAGCACTACGAAATCAAAAGCTGAAGGAGCGCGGTATTGCCGAAGCAGACGAGCGGATGATACCAGCTTCGGTGCCATACTATTCCCTCACTTTGTTGTGCACACACGGGATCAACCATCCCAACAAGGGCAAAGGTAAACGTCAACGAAAGATTATCCGTTACCTTGGGTGTACAGCTAAGGTAAAAGCGTTATCGAAGCGAAACGCGTCGGGTGCCTGAAAAGTGTCGGTGGCCTACGAGGGGTATCATAACCACGTTCGGAGTTTAGAACTGTATCGGTACTATTCCGAGAATCGTAGGATCACTGATCCTACCGTTATTTTAGACGTCCAAAACATGAAGAAGGCAGGATCATCGGCAAAGGGTATTCTCCGGTATCTACGTGAGAAAACGGGTACGATATACAACTGTAGTATATTATATGTGAATACTAATGAGCACACGTGTCTGAACAGGTACCAGTATGCATCTGCGTGACGTCCACAATCTACATGCGGCGCTGAAACGTGATTACAGGGGTGGAAAGAGCGACGAAGGGCGCAGTATGGACGTGCTGCGTGAGTTTTGCCAGACTGATGGCAACTCCGCTGCTGTTTCTTTGAACAACTCATCCGGCCTTGCTCATGCCATGTGCTTCCAGAATGCACGCCAGAAGAGGTTGTTCAAGGCCTTCCCTGAAGTTATTCAGGTCGACACAACGCACGGGACCAACGGGAACTATTACAAGTTGTTCAGCATCCTTGTAGACGACGTTTTCGGGAAGGTAATTCATTTCGGTACAATATGTTGTACCATTAGTTGCTTTCTCGTACCGGAATTTTCTTACCAATGTGTATTTTGCTCCCAGGGCCAATACGTTCAGCACTCGTTGGTTGAGAGCGAGACTAAACCGAATCTAGCTTTTTGTCTGGAAGAATTCAAGGACGCTAACCCTGGTTGGGAAAAAGTGCGTGTCATCGTCACGGATAAAGATTTTTCGGAGAAGGACGTGCTTGCCGAGGCTTTCCCCAACGCTCGGCAGATACTCTGTCAGTTCCATGTCATTGACTACCTTCAGAAGCAGAAAAGTATTTGACTACGGTGATTACTTGTTTATTAACCCTTTGGGACCTGAACTGTTCTTAGAGGCCCGCTGAAGGCCTTCACGTCACCCAATCAGATCTTTGTTTGCTAGCAACTATCAAATCAGAGCAAGCCTCGAGGCCACGTGTGAGGCCTACGGGAGATGGGTGGGGAGGGGGGACATTGCCAAAATGAGCGATAGCGACAGCGACAGCAGCTCGGACATGTGCGGGCTCTGTGGAGGGACACCATGCGACTGGGAAGCGATGCGGGGAGTGCTAATTGAGCGCGGCGATAAGATGAGCAATGACGTTGACGGAGAGGACAGGAAAAAGGTTCGGCGAGCCATGTGCCAGCTCTACGTGTACCTAAAGTTTGGCAGTCTGGTCAAAGCGTGCGTCGTGCGTGCTCCAGAGTGTGTCATCAAGGCGATTAGAGCGTGCTAGCACGATTAGATCACTAGTGCAAGTGCTCAATTGTATTTCAACGCAGGGGTCGCCATGATCGACTAACTTGCTGAAAGAATTCTCGCTCTCTTTTGGTGTCTAGGTGATGGCTCCTTCAGCAACAATTGAGGCAGCTCAATCTCATGTGGATCAACAATACTTGAGTTTAGCGATACCAAAGAGAATCTCTCACCTTGACTTCTTCCGGCACAGTGTCAACAGGGTGTAGTGTCAAAGCGGACCGGATACCAAGATACAAATCACGCTGCATTGTTGCTCGGAAGAGCTGGTGACCATAAAGCTCGTTTGTCGACCAATAATTGCGCAGGCGTTCAGAGAGCAGAGGCTGGTTGCAATCTCGAGCCCTATGTAGGCATCGATCTCGCGCAGTGTTATGACAGGGATCCCTTTTTCCGAGAGACGAGGGTTTAGCCACTGAAGCAGCGTATTACGAACGCTTCGACTAAAACAAAAGTGCAAAGAGACCTAATTTTCCCTTGGTTTGATACGCACGCACAACTTTGGCCTCCTGCAGCAACGTGATGCCTCCATTCTGTTTGAGATTCTCGAGATACGCACGTCCAGCACTTGCAGCTTCTTCACTGGTCGCATCTTCCTCCTCTGTTGCGACTTCTCGGTCTCTTGGCATGCTGCAGCCATCCAGTTCATCATCGCTCGAGTCGTCATGTTCTTCTGCGTCTGGAGATTGATCCAGGGTTCTCTCCCAGTCTGATAGAAGCAGCTCGATATCCATCACTAGCACTTTGAGGTCGTGGGAAATTTCTGTAATGCAAGTGCTGCAGCTGGTGGGGGGGGGGGGTCTCTAAAAGATTCGAAGCCCCAAGCACGTCGCCCAGCCTGAGGGTTCATTGAAGAGGAGATCTATTGGCCCTCTTAGAGACCCGGTAGGGGACTCGATCACAGCGTGCTACTGTGTGCGACTCTTGGGATGGTACTTTCAGCCAGTGACTGGGTGTATATAGGAGATTTAGAAGCCCAGATAGGGACACCAACTCTCAGGTCCCAAAGGGTTAACTACTAATGAACTTGCTGTTGGACAGGTCGGTCGGCTTTGTCATCGTGGTGCCAGTGACAAAAACGACATCATATCAGCGCTCCAGCTAATGATGAAGGCTAAAAGTGCGGTGGAGTACAGGACATACCGCCAGGACATGCTCCGATTGCTAGGAAATGACAAGAAGGACCCCTTTTTCGAGTACTTTGATGTAAATTGGGAAACGTGCAAGGAGGAGTGGGTCGACTATCATCGCGACAACTTTCCACATCTGAACAACCACACCAACAACCGCATTGAGAGCGGGTGGGGAAAGCTTAAGCAGTTGGTGGATCGTGAAGATTCAATTGACGAGTTGATCAGCACGCTGATATTGCTTCAAGAGTGGTCAGAAGAGCAATACCTGAAAGAGTTCACGAGTTTGGGTACCAGGCAGACTCCTGATGCTGAGGACGCTAAGGATGAAGAACTCTCAACGCTGGCTCTTCAGGTCAGTCCACACGCGTATCGCCTCGTCAGGGATCAGTACAAGTAAGCTTGTAGTGAGGCTACTACGTATGGCATTTGTGTCGATGGCACGAGAGCGGAGTTACGCTCACAGGACGGAACCGAGCATGTTGTTCACGTGGTCAACACCTTGGTACGTTGATTTGTGATTAGCAGTACCTTCGGTACCATTGTGTACATCCGGTACCATTGTGTACATCCGGTACCATTCAGTACGGCAGTACGTTTGGTACCAGTTTGTACATCCGGTACCGTTTAGTCGACTGCATAACCAAGCTAATCTTGATTTTTGCGTATCCTGTAGACATTCCAATGCTGCTGCGCACGCTGTTGCTGCCCTGCCGGCACGTCATTTACCTACGCAAGCACCAGAACTGGGAATCAGCCATTCCACCTCCAAAATTCTACACAGCAAGATGGTCACTTCTTTCACCCACTAACGACATATCTACAGGCTATCTTGACGGGAATCGATCGCTGCGCATGGTCAAACGCGCTACGAATGATCCAGTCGCACAATCACGAGACCGAAGGTGTTCTGAAACTCGAGCTGTGTGCCAACAGCTGCAAGGAATTATGGCCGACCAAAATACTGAGGATTTTAGATCGACATTTAAGCTGCTTCAGACAGTCGAGAAGCTGTGTCGTGCGGGCGATGTGCGAAAGCTGGCCGACGCATTGGAGGTGATTAAAAGTCAAGACAACGAGATAAAACGACAGAGACCAGAGGACAGTGGTGTGGATCGTGCCAAACAGATCGGTTTTGAGAATCTGAAGTTCTCTAAGTCTGTACGGCAGACTCAGGCGTCAAGGCGTAAGAAAAACAAAGCTCAGAAGGTTCAGTCGCTACAACGTATTCGTCGTAGGGCACGGCTCTTTGCATCCGGAAAGGCAAAGACGGCTCCTAGCTTAAACGACATGGGAGCTATCCTCTCACAGCTGTATTGCTATGCTGTAGCAGCTACAACGATACGTCTTGCTTCAGACTACTTCAACTACATAGCTAATGAGGTGTTTTTGATAATACGAAGCTGGAGAGATTTCCACTAAAGGAGAAGAGGTCCACAGTCAGCACACAGTGCAGCGGATGAATGTCGGGCAGCCTCGTCCGGAGCCAACGTACTTACTCCCCAGAAAAGCATGCACTGCAGCTATTAGCGGCATTGAAATGCGAGCTGAGGGGGAAGAAGGCAACGCAGTGTACCTTGCTCGATGGTATGACATTGGCTACGCTACCGTGGGGCAGCTGAAGATAATGGTGCTGGTGACGGACGCGAAAGTCGCGATGACAAAGGTCGAGGCAACGCTGGCTTGGATAGATTCAGTCATTGTGAACCCCTCCGGGGTGGGATCACCGTTCAACGACAGCCCATTGTTCCCTAAGGTAAGGTTTTGTATCACAATGTGTGATCCGGTACTAAATTAAGAAACTAAAACCGGATAATTGAGTATGCGAGTTGTATAGGAAATGTTCAAGGACAACGTGGAGAATATGGCTTTGAACAGTTATACTAGTGCTGGTGAAGACATTGAAGGACGTTTACTGCAATTTAGAGGGAACGAATGGCTAAACTCGACCTGTGTACGAGCTGGATTGATTTTTCTGACACGGAGCTAGATTACGATGAATGTGGGTTTCATTGTTCCGGACTGGTACGGGTACCAGGATGTTACTGCAAGAAAGAAAACTGCGGCTACCAACGGCGCCTTTCACAGTAGCAACCAGCGCCAAATCGGCATCGTGAACTCGTGTGGAAATCACTGGATTGCATTTTACTTGGACCGTACATCAAGCCCCGTTACGTGCACTCTATTCGACCCTCAACAGAGCAAGTTGCGCTACAACGAAATAGAGGGTGCTGTATTATCCGACATTGTTCCACAATTGGCCGGCAAACCAGTTGTTAAGTTTGAGCGATGGGAGAAATGCAAACAAGAAGATGGGCATTCCTGTGGTGTCTGGAGTCTTTTTTTTTCTTTAAGTCGAAGCTTTCTGGGCACATTTGGAGAAACGAAAACTATAGGTTGGAGTAGTACTATCGACTTCGCTACCTGCGGTTTTGTTTGCGCGACACAGAAGACAACGTGATGTAAGCACAACTATAGTGATGCTACATCGTTAACAAATGTATGTTTGGAGTTAAATGTCGCCGTTCATCTTTGTTTTAGTCGGTTACCGCAGAATGTTTAAGCCAGACTCACCAATTTAGTATATAACAGTTACCAATTATT